GGTGTTATTCTAGCTTGAGCAAGTGTACAACGACGGAAATGTGAATAAAGTGAAGATGTGTCGTTTAGTCGTTGAGTCCACTTGCATCAATCTGAATGAAGATTTTGAAATCGTCTTGAAGCATCGAGCTCGGACCTAGTCACGCCAGAGAAAGTATGCCAAAAACACTAGCTAGACTAAAGTGTTCAATATATCGTGCCATGGAAATACAGCTGGTTCCTAGGATTCAGATATACTTACGATGCATAAATGCCTCTCGTGTTTAGGGACGTTTTCCAAATTTCCGCGACATTGTAGCTGTTTTACAGATATGCGGGTTGTGAAAATCAAACCAGATATGTGACCTGATTCCTTAGTTTTCCAGCTTGTGGAAGTTCGTATATAGCTGCCTACGACGACCAGCCCTCGGTAGGAAGCACGTGGGTGGTTGTGCGAAAATGGGGGACTCAACTCGGGTCGGCTACTCCATCTGTGAGCTACTTAATGTGGACAACATTCAATGAATGCAACCGGTGTTAGGTGTTTAGCGGTGACGCTGCCAGACTCAGTTCCTCAAGTCATGTGCGTGTCTGAAGTCAGATTTAAAGTGTTGGTAGAAACTTTTGGCAGAAAATTATGAAAGGTGCGACCAACACATCACGTCCCCAAAAATAGCTTGGAAGTGGTGCTAATAACCATGTTTTATTTTCTCGCTCAGTGCGCAACTGCCCGAGGATATTGTTTCACATGTGCCGCGGGGGGTCCCTGCAAGAGAATCACTCATGGTAGAATCCGAAGACGACTCCATTCCGGATGATCCTCTGTTGGTTCTGCAAGAATCATCTGTTGAAACGTAAGTTTTCCTATTGGTCCGGATTATCATCACATGGCAAGCTAAAAATGATCGGTCTCTCTCCATAATTTGGACGTATTCTGACCAATGGTTTTCTTCAGCGTCCAATGTCTACGTTTGAGCCTGTATCCTATCCGATTAATAATTACACGCTACTTCTAGCTAAATACTCACCCACCCGTTGAGGTTCATCCCGTAGCTTAATGAAATAACTTTGTCCATGAAAAGATGTCATGGTAATAAACGAATCCTCTAAGAGTCACTAAAATATAGACTGAACTACAAGTAGCCTATGAACGAGGGCTTTTGGTGGGTTAAAATGAAATGAAAGAGAGGCAGTTGTTGCTGAACGCTTGGTATATCAAACAATAAATGAAACTCAGGCAAGACAGATTGAGCCGAGAGCTGTGTTGTTTTGGGTTCTTACGGGCAGTACGAGATTAAAAACAACCAAAGTCACTCCAATTGGTGGGTTGCTGTAGTATGATCCGTACCTGGTTACAAGGAATTCACTCAAGTTCAAGCATGTAATTTCAATCAGATGCAAACATTTCTTTTAATGTCTACCAAACGGTGGAAAGATGTCATTGTCCCTGTGAAACCCATCATTTTGTTACAGTTGGTCGGCAGAAATCAAGACAGAAGGAAACTATGTTCTGCGGACTAGCTTCTGATCATCATCATCATCGACAGCATGACATCAGTGTTCAACATCGATGCTTCACTGCCGTACAAGCTTCTGATGATTCTTTTTAACTGAGTGTACGCCTGGCTGAAGGTTTATCCTTTTGCTATGTCGACGTTAGAGAACCACTGATCCACTAGTATGACTCCGTCATTTCCCCGTTCTTGCGCGTTGTGTGGGGTCACCTGCTGAATCGCTAGGACCCCTCTGAGGTATTCTAATTAGAACTACCTCTCAGTACCCTAGAACACTGACAGTGTTTTCTTTGCCCGCATGCATCAGAACGAATGTGAGTTATAAATCCATCACTCTCAGTTACGGATAGATAAATAAGCAATTGTATTATGATATCGGTCGTATGCATTTTGCAAGCAACATTTTCCGTTTCGTTTATTCCCTAGACATCGCCACAGGAAGAGAAAACGACCAAAACCTATGCAAGCCTGGCAGATAGCAACGAAGCGAATGCGGATTTCTCGACGAGCGTATATGTTAAAATCCTCTACAGTTTCATTCAAATTGTCATCCAATGATGTATTATTTTACCTTACATTGCCTGCAGATGTCAAACGTTTGTTTGCGTCTGGATTTCGACCTGATTCGCTTTTATGTAAACCAAAATGAGTACTGTTTCGGTGTTCACCAATTGCTTTTATCGAGACTCGCTTTTCATCCAATCTGTATGTAGTCCATCCCAAGAAAATATTATTATTTTACGGTCTTACCAGTGTTTCACTTCTTACTGACAGGAAAATTTTCCGTTCTGAGACACTCTTCAGTCCCCATTGGATGGATCGGAACTTCTTGAGGTCACGACCCCATCAACAGTCTGTAAACCCTACGGTGTATAGTTTAGAACAACTAGGGTTTTTCCGGTGGTCTCAACGTAATGATTAGTCATTAGGAAAACCCAAACACGAATATCGTCACATATCGGGGATATTGTTGTAGAGCATATTGCATTTTATTGTTCACGAAAAACAGATGCTGACAGCCAATTCCGTTCCCACCCCAACACTGATCTTAGCGCCCGGCCCGGCCTGACCTCACCAACTAACTAAAGTATTATCGTTCGGTGAGATGACTACCATCTATAAAGTCTACTTACAGGGGCACCTGAGGTTTGAGTGGGGACATGTCTCTTCACGGCATGTGACTTCAGTGATTAAAGCACTATCACCACCAATGTCATATAGAGCACCCTGTTTGAGAAAAGTGAGCTTGCCGCAGATCAGTTTTATCAGGGGATTCGAAAATTCCATCAAACCTTTGAGTTTCTGAAGCGACTATTGTTCGAATTTGCACGTACTTTTTTTGGAGTTGAACGCTCGTCGTACCCTCAGCGATGGACACACTACTGCCGATTAATGATTATGTCGTTTCTCTTTTATAAGCAAGTTTGCGTGCCAACTGTCATTGGAATACGAGTGCCATGCCCAATGTCTCCCCTAATTCTCTCAGATACTTTGCAAGCCGCCCATAGTCTTTTGACGACTTACGTGCATTCGGAATGTGGGCCTAGAGGAGCCCAACATGCCGACCGCAAGGCAACGAGGACAGGACAAACAGAGGAGTCCGAACCCTCCGATGCCACTAAAAGTACGACTCAATGAAGACGAGATCAAAACTGAGAGGTATTGATCTAAGAGTGACTTAGGAATGGGACCAGTTTCAACATATCTGTTAACTGCTGACACTTTCCTCTCGGGGTGAGAAATAAAGGCGAGGACATGAGACAAATCACTTGATTGAGGGCCCATTTTAACTCTCTCGCATCCGAAGTCCCCTAAGTTATCCTTGAAAGTCAACCTTACGTGTATAGCCAAACAAGTAGTGTCCTCGAAGCGTCACGCCTTATGACAGTGATGATTGGGGGCATGCACACCGTCCGAGTTGATGTTCTTACCGTCCAGAAAAAGCCCAACTGAAATTCACTTTTATCTCCGGTGCATGCGCAATACTCGAAGATAGGGATACGTTCAGCTTTGACCAAGAAGAGACTCACGAAGAGACTAGACCTTACCGTGGTGTGGCGGTTTGTGTACCTCGGAGACCCATTGAGCTATACTGAGGGGTGTCCGCGCGACACTCACACTCTCATACCAGGTTGGTCAGTGGTTAGAGGTCTGACGAACACAGTCTCCTGGCCCTCCAGGTTGGGGGTTGGAACATTTATGGCGACTTGTTCCGTAGAAAAGGTAATGCATTTGCATTTCCCCGCCAAACACCGCTGCCTTGCGGTTAGGCTTTTGAGCCAAAGGCTTTGGTTGAGGACCCTAATCGTCCTC